GCTCAGCAGCTCTCGCCTGGTCATTAAGTTCAGTATCAGCGCAGGGACATTTGTCAAACAGACAGTGACCGTAAGTGAATGAGCAGAGAGCCCCCCCCCCCAAAAAAAATCATATTTAATTTAAAATTGCCCAATTGGGCTTGAATGGGAGGCCTGGAGGTGAAAGGGTAGCTTATTAGGAGGAAAAAAAAACCCATGACAGGGCTTCAGCCCATTAGCAAGTGGGATGGCATTTTAACTAACTGTAATCCCTTTGATTCACTGGAGTGCCGCGGGGGGACCTGCTCTCCGCACCGCCGCTGACCGAGCGAAGGAGCCGGGAACGGGCGCGATGCAACATCGGTTTTACAGTCGGTCCTGCTCAGGCAGCACCGAAGAGCAAATGGGATTTATGGCAAACAGACGCTGCCTGGAGCTGGTACTTCCCAGGAGGGAGCAGGTCAGGACTCTGCCTGGTTTTCCTGTGGTTTACTGGGTGTGACACGCGGTGTGTCTTACTGGGGTGAGACACCAGCCCAGCCCTGGACTGCAGAGGATGCTTGAACTACCCAACCCATGTCAGCACTGGAACAGGCTGCCCAGAGCAGCTGTGGATGCCCCATCCCTGGAGGGGTTCAAGGCCAGGCTGGATGAGGCTTTGGGCAACCTGGGCTGGTGGGAGGGGTCCCTGCCCATGGCAGGGGGTGGCACTGGATGAACTTTAAGGTCCCTTCCAACCCAAACCGTTCCATGATTCTATGTTAAGCCCATGAAAGGCAGGAAGCTCCTGGACACCACGATTTTTATAACTATGGAGAGAGATTGCTAGTCCAGCTGGAGGTCAGGCTATAACCACCTCTCCCTCCCAGCATGTGTACCCCTCTGCAAAGCAGTGAAGCAGGTAAATGCACCAGTGAGGCTGGGAGACCTCCTCAAATCCCAAGCTCCCTGGCTCTGATGACCTGCTGGACCTGAACCACCCGCTGGCATCAAACTCATTTCTTTAACGTGTGACCTTCATGGCCACAAGATTAATTCCTGCTCATTAGACATTGCTGTGATGACTTGTTGCAGAAAGACCTGTAATGGCCATACAAAAAGTGACCAATGGGTGAATACACCAGCTGTGCATAGAGAGCAGAGACCTGCAGCCCACACCGCGGTTCTGCTGCCTCTTATGGTCTCCTTCCTCCGTCCGATACATCACTCCTCTTCCACTTGTCTTGCTGGGTAGTTTACAGGGCAGAAAAATGAGGAGGCATGCATTTAGGATTAGAAAAAATTCAAAGCTCTGCAAGTTGTCATAAGTTGGACATCTCCAAATTCTTCCTAACTCTGCCTGGGCATGGCTGGCTCAATGGGAACAGAAGGTCCAGCCCCAAAGCCGTGTCCTCCCTGTGACTCCCGTGGCCCCAGCTGGCCAGGGGGAAAGCTGGGTGATGTTAAGAGGCAGTGCAAGAGGACCTGGTGTGTAACTAAGCTAAAGCTCATATCCTGCTGATGTGAATGATTCCAGCTCCCAGAGAATTGCCTGGAGCTGTGTGACATGGGCTCTGGGAGGTGGCAGACGTGGGGATGTGCGGCACAACCTGTCCCACAGCATCCCCCAAATGTGGAATCATGGAGTTTGAGAAACTCCAGCTATTTTCCATCACCTGCATCCTTTCTTTTTTTCCTGAAAACTCAGTTTTTGTGTCCACCCTGCTTTGAAATGTCCTGATCTGAAGTGAAAGGTGCCAACGGATGAAAAACTACATGAATGATGGGAATACCTTTGCCTGGATTTCCATGGAAAAGGAAAGGTTTTTGCTCAGTCTTTAGCGTTTTCCTAGTTTTCCAGCTCTGCACTGTTTGCTGCTCTGGTTGGACATTCAAATCCTGTCAAAATTGCCTATTTTTGCAGGACAGGGTTACAATACCAGTGCTTCTGCTGTCATCCTTGGATCAGCACCTTCCAAGAGAAGGTCTTCCACGAAAGGCTTTAAATCAAAGCCCTCCAGGGAGCCCAGGGATGGACCTGCAGGCATGGAGACCCGCCGGCGGTAGAGGCAGCAACCCTGCGATTGCTGCAATTTGTCCTCAGTGAATAACAGACGGAAGACTCGCAGAACACAGCACGCAGAGTTTGCTTTGCTGGGGCACTTTGAGAAAGATGGGCAATGACCAAGATGTCCCAAGAGCACTAGGAAAGCCTTGGGTTTCTTAATGCCAACCCAGCAGTTGTGCTGGGTGTGGAGGCAGGCTCTGTGTCACTGAGATGTTGCTGACAACCTAAAACACTGCCCGGGTGAACTAAAAGGCAAAAGACCCTTCCTCTTTTGATTTCTGGTTTTTTTTTTTGGGTTTTTTTTTTTGGGTTTTGTTTTTTTCTTAGCAAGCCATGTCTGGTTTACTCAGCTAAATCCCACCCTGCCTTATTGTCCTTCCCTGTTTTAGTCTCCTCTACCTGCCACCAGAAATCTAATTTTGCACTCGAGCATTTGCAGAACCTTAACCCCGAACCTGCTTTGCTCCTCAAAATCCTCATCAGAGGAAACTCCGCAGCTTGATGGACCTGGCAAACCGTGGAGAGAAAAGCCCAGCTCTCATTGCCAAACCTGCTGCATGCACAACCCAAGCGCGGGTGCCAGCCTGCCATGCTGCACCTCACCCGAGCCTGAAACAATATCCCCATCCTTGGGAAAGCCTCCCACTATATATTTATTTAAAAAAAATCAAGTCCAAAAGACTGTGCTATTATTCAGCACAGCTTATCCCTCACTGAAAATCATCATCGGCTGTTCTCTGGCTGTCTGTTAAAACAGGCGTGACCGCACGTACCTTATAGTGTGACTCTGTCTCCTCTTCCTGAGTAGAACTGGAGGGAGATGGTGTAGCAGATTTACTTCCCGGGGGCGATGGGGAACCGTGGGTAACACCGCTCCGCATCCCCATCTGCGAAATCAGCTGCGACTGGCTGAGCGCGCCCATGGGGCCGGCTAACATCCCGGGGCGGTTGAGCAGGGGCACTTGGCGGTTGGACTCAAAGGACGTGGCGTCCGAGTGGACCATCTCCTGGATCTGAGTTAGGAGAATATCACTTTGTAATTAAAAAAGGTATTTATTTATTTATCATATTGTCAAATCACTTTACTGTGAACTTTTTTTGACCGATTTAAAATTATCCTATGCAGCCGGTCAAATCTTCCTTGCGCCCCCTTCCAAACAAGTCAAGAGCAAGAAATGAGTACCATGCGCCCGGGGCTCTGCTCCTGCCATCACCCTGCCCAAGGGGGCTACAGAGAGGTGCTAAATTGGGTTTGTACAACTCTCTGTGTCCCAGGAGGTGCCCCTGCCTGCCTCAGGCACCAGTGGTGGCTGGTACCTATCAGGGGGTGGAAAGAAAAGGTCTGAAATGAGCAAATTTTGTCCAAATGAGCAGGAGAAACGAGGGCATTGCAATGTCCCAGGCGTTTCTGGGGCCATGTGTTCTTCCAGGGTGTTTGGGGCCATGGCTGACAGGCCAGCTCTGGCACACCAGCGATAGAGGCTGTAGATCCCCAACATGCTCTTTCTGAGCATGGTGTTGAGATTTAGCAACTGCATAGACGAAAAAACATCTGCTTGTTGGAGTTTATGAAGGGACCACAACCAACCCTCCGGCATCGCCTGTGTGGATGTTGGGTCGTGAGTGCTACTGGGGTTAAACCTAGGAATAGTAAGCACAAAAGCAGTTGGTGGAAGCCCCAGGTTTCCTACCACGTCAGTCTGCCCAAAGCTGTGACCACCCAGGTTTACAGATCCCCGAGCCCCAGAGGCAGTGAGCTCCACCGCATGCCCCAAGACGGACCCCAGCGCGCGGGGACAAGCTCTGCTGGTGGCCACCAACCCATCACCACTCCTCCAGGAGACAACTCTTCTGATTTTGAATATTGCAGTCAGTTCTAGTCCCACTCAAAATGAATGTAGCAGAAAGAAAAAAAAAGTCCAGACTAGGGCAAAGAAAATGATTTCTGCCTGTTAAGATTTCCCATCGAGGGAAGGGACCAGAAGCGATGCATGCGCGTGCACGCCTAAGAGATGAGAGAGGTGGCTACGTGACAGAGACGTCCCCCAAAACGAAGAGTTTCTCAATGCCTATTTCCTAACAGATAAATATCTCTGTTCTCATAACACAAGAGCGAGGGGACATCTGATGGGACCGAGAGGTAACTAATCACAGCCGGCTGCAGGGACGCCCGGACACGGCACAGGCCATCAGCACAGTGCTGTCTCCCGAGGCTCCAGAACCCAACAACCCTGAAAGACTTGAAAGAAAAATGAAACCTATACATATGGCTAATAAGAAATGTCAAATGCTACATTAGACAAAATAAAAATACCTCGGGGAGCGCACATGCCTCCGTGTCACAGCACAAACCAAAGTTCAGCAACCCCCTGTCCTGGCCAAGGGGGGAAGGTGAGAGGAGCTGGGGACAAACCCAGCCGTGTGGTAGGTGCATGGAAGGTTTTGGGGCTGTCTGCTGAGCCAACACCCCATTTCCAGTTTGTACCATTTTCCCTGAAAACCCCATTGTCACCCCAGGATCCATCCCACAGCCCCTGGCACATCCTCATCCAGCCACGGAGGCAGCCAGCGGGAAGGAGAACAAGCCCTGCCTGAAACGTTTGCCAGACTTTTTCCCTTTTATATTAATCTGATTAATGTTAACATGAGTTTAAAGACCCCAGCTTTATTTATGAACAATCTTCATTTCGGATAAGCCCACGGAGGTACGATCTCTCGTTACTAGGGGAGCCTTGCCAGCTCCGTGAGCCGCACGTACAGAGAGAAACCCAGGGAAGAGCTGCAAGGGCTCGGCAGGCTTCAGAGGAAATAAATCCACATGCAAAACCAGATTTACTCCTGCAGGTCAGGAACCAAGAGCTTTACACAACAGCCGGCAGCATGTTCTGCTCTCTTTCAGATTCTCCATCAGTCGAGGGGTGTGTGTCAGGGGAACAGATTTTCCTATTTCTGCCCTTTTTCTGTATTAGTTACAAAGTGCGGGGATTTAACTCACAGGAAGAAAATAACATCTTGGACCTGTTGGAGCGGGGCCAGAGGAGCCACGGAGATGGTCCGAGGCTGGAGCAGCTCCCGTGCGAGGACAGGCTGAGAGAGTTGGGGGTGTGCAGCCTGGAGAAGAGAAGGCTCCGGGGA